AGAAGAAAATTTTTTGGTCGCTACCCGGAATCGAACCCGGGACCTTTGAATGAGAGGCCAACACCTTAACCTCTAGGCCACGAGAGCCCCCTTCGAGTATTTAAAGTATTCGAAATAGTAAGGACCTCCAAAACACATTCGTGAGGCATCGTGGTGAAATCAGGAGCTCGTCAAAGTGATGAAATCGAAGAAGCAGGCATTTTTCAGCCAGTTTGGCAATATTTATTGAATTTCAGTTTTTTAGCTCTACGCCCTTGTGTCCATATAAAGCACATTTCGGTGCGAATTTGTCCTAAAAACGTTGATTAAAGGCATAAAATATGCGATTTTTCAGTTTTCAAAGACTCTTAAGCTAATAATGTAGTTACCAAACTTTGGCGGCCATTTCCTCGCTAATGTCCCCTCTGAAACCACGTGACCCTAACTTCCTTTAATTGGACATATTTTGGACTTCTGTTCAATACATATAGATATTTTTTTCACCCAAAACAAGGCAAATGAACAGGCTTTAAGGTGATACCAATAACCCCATATGCCCAAGAAATGACTAGCCCCTGATTCCACCACGTCGCAATACATTTTTTTTATTATGTATCCACATACTTTTCCGAAACCAACATCTACATAGGACGTAAGCTCTCTTGACATGGTATGCGATTGTGTGGAATGACATACGTAATTTTCCGGCAAAAAAGATATCAGCATGTACAGCTACGGATTCTATTAGTCAGGAAGACATGAAATGTCACCATGGGACGAATAAAAGTGAAGTCGATCAGAGATCAGGCTTGAATCCTTCGCATGTATATACATATACCCTGCCATCTCTTTGTTGACCGTACAATGAAGATCGAATGATATGCATATATTCGGTTTTCACTAGGTTCAAACTGTGAACGACTTATTAACTGTCTCGGTGAATGAAGGGGGAATGGGTTTCCATGAAATAGGAAAGAATGAAGAGAGAAGGAGGGAGGGGGAGGAGAGGGAGAGAGGTGGAGGAAAGGAGTGGGGAGGAGAGAGGGAACGGGAGAGTGAGATATAGACAGATAATCAGCCATCAAGTCAACCAGACAGACAGACAGACAGATGACAGACAGACAGACAGACAGACAGGCACGTAGCTAGTAACAGGGATAGGGAAGTAGAAAAAGAAAGAGAAAGAAAGGAGAGGGGGCAGGGTGAAAAGGGAAAAGAAGATAGAGCGTATTGAAGGTGTTAAGGGCGAAGAGTACAATCATGGAGATTCTTCCCATATTATGAATGATGCCTGACTTGAGATTGAATGGCCAGAGAAAAAGATAGTGTTCGATATGAAGGGGTCAGTGGAGCGAATTCAGTGAAGGCACTTAGAGGCAAAGGCTGGGTTAGAGATATAGGGTTGGGGGCTGGGGGGGGGGAGAAACTTTGAAGACGAGGAGAGTAGCACAATCATCATCATCATCCAGTGCCTTGCCAATTGGGGAGGACGATCATTGATCTCCACGTCCATCTGTCTTGCGTTGCAGCAATTGTGACTTTTGTTCTTGCTGCTCCCAGCCATGTTGTCAACTTGTCCGTTAAATTTTTCCTATGTCTACCTCAGACTGCCTCTCTTTCCATCAAATTTGGGTGTTGTTACAATATTCTCAAAAGCTTATTTCCGTATGGCATGACCAATGAAATTTGTCTGTCGCTTTCGTGTATTCGTCATAAACTGTCGTATGCAATTTGCTTCAACCAAGACTTCTTAGGCGCACAACAGGCAACTATAAATCAATGGCATGTAACAATTACCTTCTCTGTCCAGAGAGAGGGGAATGCAAAGAGCGCCTGACCGGAAAATGAATTCAGCCTTAGTCTTAAAAAATATCTGTCTCCAGTATTGCATTCTCTGGGTTATCTTCTTTGGGTATCGATGAAAGATTAATAAATTGTCTGTTTCTGTTAAGGTGACTGCCAGCACAGAAACATGCTTTCGCAGATTCATACTCAGAACTTCTGCTTAGGTCTAGGTAGTTATTTGAAGTTTCAGTTGCAAAATACACGGTATGCCAAAGCTGGGGGTTTCTGAAGAAGATATTGTTCTACGCAAACATGTATCCACGAGGTAAAAATAATAGGAAGGTGTGTGTCACAGAGCCAAAAAAGCTGTAAAAAGTTAAACTGCTATAGTTGACACATCAATTGTGTTTACATAGGAATTCAGTTTTCATAAAGTGGCAGAATACTTGGTCGTGTCAATAGAATAAGTATAGTTAAGTCCTGAACACTTGAGGCTATATTGTGTATCTTTCCCTATATGTAATTTCTTTTTTTTTCAGATCGCTGACGGACATCTCAGTCCACTCTACATCTGGCCGGTGGCAGAACTCAAAGCCAAACACCAAAAACACTAACCAAGAATAGCCAAGTTCAAACTGAAGGATAGCAATAATAATAGTATGTGAGGCATCGTGTTGAAATCGGCGCTTGTCAAAAAAATGAAATCAAAGAAACTGACATTTTTCTGTACGTTTGGCAATTTGTTTTCTGACTCAATACCTCGAGAGTCCGTTTAAAAACACATTTCTGTGTTGATTCTACAGAAAAATGTTGGCACAAAAAATGTAAATTCGCAGTTTCTAAGGACTCTCAATCTTTGGAAGTCGCCAAACTTTGGCAGCCATTTTTTCGCTAAGTTTACCTCTGAAACCGGGCGACCCCCACCTCCATCAATTCCAGATATCTCGAGTTCTATTCAGAATAGATTGGTGTGGTTTTTTGTCTACGAAAGCAAAACAAATTAACAAGCCTTAAAATTATTACGTCAACTCCAAATGTCAAAACATTGACGAGCGCCTGATTCCACCACGTCGTGAATATTATAATGATCTTTCTCTAAAAAACGTGGCACCTTTTCGAAACCTTGACAAAGTAGAGACAGACAAACGCGCTCATATCACCTTATGTAGTTACGAGCGCCGTAAAACATCTAAGAGACAGAAAAAAAACTCTCCATCCATCATGGCGCACACAATTGCGTTGCCAGCATTGTACAACACAACCCTGCACTCTACGCCAACTGCAGATTTCAATAACGAGACGACGCTTAATAATATGACCTTTGGCCCCGTCCTCAAAGACGAGTCACAGTCTAGCTCTGGGGCCGGGGTCACGGAGATTGTTCTCTTCAGCTTTCTCTTTTTTGTCATTGGAGTCGTCGGAATCTTTGGCAACTTTTTGGTAAGAATGTTTTTTCACTATAGATCTAATTCAATTATTTCCCATTGTTGTGCTTTAATAGTTTTATTATCATCCTTATGTGAATGTTGAGAGAGAATAATAAATTTTACTATTACTGGTTTTATTATTAATGTAATTATTATTATGAATATTATTTCATTA